GAAATAAAACTTGGCTCTCTTGTGATTCCTACAAAATATAGTGTAAAAAAATTGCAGCTACTGAAGTATAAGGTTACAAAGACAATTTTTCATAACATTTATGAGAGAAAAAATGGAATTGAAAATTCAGGTGAGATACAATGTCCTTCAAGTTGCAGGATACAGAAAAAAATAGGTATAGTTTGTCAACATAAAATCTTTAACTTTGCTTTTAAAAAAAAGTACTGAAAGTTTGACATGGAAAAAATTAAAAATTGGGATCACAGTGTTCGAGTCATCCTAACATAAGTCACCAGAATCGCAACGTGACAGGCCTGCCAAGCGACGCAGGACGTGTTGCCTCCGTTTCAATTACTTTCCTGTGCTACTTAACAGAACAATGGGCCCTAGTATTGTCAAAATTTGGAACTTTTCACAAAGCTTCTCTTATGCACAGTAGACCAAGAAGAGAAGGGATGAGATGTCATTATGCTGGATCTTGGTTCTACATTTGCCTTGATTTCCTGAGAATTAAAGAGAATGAACCCTTTTAACAGAAGCTAAGATACTAGTTCTCTATATTTCTGTCTGGCAAGCAAATGTCCAAAAAACTTAACCTTCTACCCAAGTAAGAGGAGCTCTTTGGAATGACAGCCACCGAGATACTGTCCTAGTTTGGGGCCATTCTTTAAATAGAAGGCTGTGCAGGGTGGGGAAGAAAGAGTAAGACTAGAGGGAAGGAGAGGGAAGGTGAACCAAAAATCTGGCATGACATAAAAACCCACAGTTCTTTAGCCTCTGTGACAGATGTTTTGGCCATTGAACCCAGGGTCCCCACTCTTACAACACTTCCCTAGTCTAGTGGCCTTCAAACTGGGTGCATGCATGTGTCTGGAGGCAAATGGAGACATTCTGGGGGATAAGCAGAAATGGGCCACTTAAGGAATCATTTTGCAGATCCTAACTCTATATGCACTGTTTCCCAACATTGGTCTGCCTGAGAGCTGCACCTGCCATCTTCAGTCTTCATTCCCATCCCCCCCTTTCCCACGTTGCAAAAGACACACCTCTCAGCCAGCCCCAAGGAACAAAAAATTCTCCTAGGTGTGGAGGATAAACAAAGAGACAATTTAAGGAAGTGTAACTACTGAGAATATCTGACAGCAAAGCAAAGAAGGCAGAGACTACAAATAACAAAGAAACAGTGCCTTATTTCATCCAGGTCCACACCTTTCCCACCTACCTATCTTAGAATTAAAATTCAGGAGTAAGGGTTGTCACGTGAAATGAATAGATATTAACATATGTTAACACATTTATAGGAATTGAAAAACAAAGTTAGACTTTTTTCTCAAAGAAAATAATTCTTTTTTTTTTAAAGATTTTATTTATTTATTTGGGAGAGAGAGTGAGAGAGAGCATGAGAGGGGAGAGGGTCAGAAGGAGAAGCAGACTCCCCACTGAGCAGGGAGCCCAAGGCGGGGCTCGATCCCAGGACTCCAGGATCATGACCTTAGCTGAAGGCAGTCGCTTAACCAACTGAGCCACTCAAGCGCCCCTCAAAGAAAAGAATTCTAATTTGCCTGATTAGTTTGCCAATGAGGACTGACTTTACCAATTATATGATGAACATTTACCAAAAATTGAATGAGCTACACTGGCAGCTCCAAAGTTTTAACAAAACATATGTAAAACATATGCACAATATTCAATATGCCAGAAATCATATCCTTTGAAACTATTTGTTACACTTATGATTAAAAACATTAAAAATCTACTTAAAAATATGAAAGGATATAAAGACTTTCTAAACTCTCTTAAGGGATATGAAAGCAAAAAAGTTTGAAGACCATTGCCCTAGACTTCCCTCTGCTTTAACACAGAGAGAGGCTTCTGGTAGAATAGCAAAATGAAAGGGGAAGATTCTCAAATGGTCTGCCCTTCTCTTGCAGCATCAGCAAAAATACACTAAGGGGAAAAAATACACTACATTAACAGAACGTCCAGCCGATCCTAGGTAAAACTGTTGTTATTCCTTGCTGGTCTCCCACCTCCCTTTCTGAACATCCTGGAGTTCTCACTCTGCCCTTCCCCTTTACTTAATATTCCCCATTAACATACCTCCCCTAGACCGTTCCTGCCTTCATAATGTACCACACTCCAAATTTGCTGATCTAAGCTAAAATGTTATGGGGGCAACAATCTGGTTAACCAATTCCCCAGTGTCATAATAGCCCATCAGTGGGATATCTACACTTTAAGATTTACTTTGGATTACTCTAATGGAGCCTCAAATTTGTAGAATTTTGAGTCATTTGGAGGATTCTGAGCACCACCTTGTCCAAGAAGCAGGGACATCCAGTGTTTGAAGTCAGGCTCTGGGTAAAGGATCCTGATGCTTCAGAGGAACCCAGAGCCACCCACTCTAGCCCACTCTTCTTTTTGTTCTCCAAATCTAATCCTGGAAACACTCTTCTCATTTTACTAATTTCCTAGGCTTAGGAAAATGATGATTATTTCCCATTATGTCTTTTTTTCTCCTGGTTTCAAATATCTAATATTTGGGGGACATATATATATCACACTTCAAGCACTCTCAGATGTGGGACCCCAAGCTCTCATCTGTATATATGCATCTGGCGCTTAACAGGCAATATCTCATTTAATCCCTCCCAGCAATCTTGTGCAATGGGCTTCCTAAACCCCACTTGGCAAAACAGGCCAAATTTGCCCAAGGTCATGCAGCTAATGTGCATTCAAAGTCACTTTTCTTCATTTATGCAAACACTAGTTTTAATAAGGACTTGAGTGTGTCAAGGCTGTGTGTCATCTACTAGGCAGGAAGATAGAGCCCTTGCTTAGAGATCTTATATTCTAGCAAGGGAGAATGAAACAGGCAGGTAGAATAAAGTCAGTCTGTTTATTTTCCCGTTTACCATGCTCTGGGAAACCTTTGCCCAGGGCTCTGACTTCCCTGGGATACCAGGAGGAAACACGTGTGATGACAAAAATATAGCCTCCAAACTCATAGGCTTTCCACTAAAAAAGACTTGATTTCAAATCATGGTTTTGCCACTTACTATGAAGTTTCGGCAAGCTACTTAATCTAAGTTTCCCTTTCTCAAGACCTTGGGAGTACACCTTCCCAGGTTTGTCTGCTCTCAGCTTTCACGTGTCAGCTCAAATATCATCTCCTCAGAAAGGCCTTTTTTGACCACTGAAGCTAAAGTGTATTCCCTCCAATGCAGCCCTCCCCCAAGTTATCTATAGGCTACCCTATAACAACCTGAAATCGCCTGGTTTATTTACTGAGTTACTTGTTTACTGCTTTTCCCTACAGTTAGAGTCTTTGTCTGATTCAAGGCTATCTCCCTAGAAGCTGGGAATAGTCGTGGCCTATAGGAAGCCCTCAATAAATATTTGTTAAACGAATGGGTAAGGCAACGTGGCCAACTGAACAAAGCTTCACAATTTTTAAGCATTTTGCAAACTTAACCCCAAGGTTTATTTAAGCTATCATGACTATTAGTTTGTTCAACTTACCTAATTGATCTGATCTAAGTCCAGCCCATGGGTACCTTCTCCCCACTGAGGGATTATAGGACTCTGACAAATAGGACTTTTTCCACAGAAAGTTTCTCTGGTATTCACTCAGCCCCTGTAATACAAAAGACAATTTGAGTACAATGCAATTAATGAACGTTGCTTTAAAGAAGACATCAGTAAAAATAATTTCTGAACCACTACAGAGTTGAAAGTCTTGAGATTGGTAAACACAGAAGAACTCCTTGATAACAGCTACCGTTTATCCAGCCCAATGCTAAGCAGTTCACACGTATTCTATCCTTTAATCCTCACAACCACCTGAGGCAGATGCTAGCAGGAATCTGAGGCTCTGAGCAGTCATCTTTTTGCTGGATGTCTGAGTCCAAAGCCTGGGCTCTTGTCTGATAACAGGTGACAATCCAAATCCTCATCATATAATTATCCTAATTAAGTTCTCAATTGAGTATGATGCCTTGTACCTTTCAAAATTTTGGAAAGTCAACCAAAGAAAAATTCCCCTCCCATTCTGGATACAAGCCCTTAAGTTAAAAGAATAAAACAGGGTTTGCGAAATGCTGTGGCCAACTGTTACACTGGTGGGTGCCTGACAGCTACCACCTACCTGAAACTTATGCACAACTATGAACAATGTGTATTTCTTACACCCTATCTTTACATTGTCAAGGTCCCATTTCTCAATCCTTTAAAAGACACCGGCACTTTAAAGTTTTAAAGGGTAGGCAGGGGGCGGGGGTTAAAGGATAAGCTGTGAGATGGGGCCACAGGTGTCCCAATCTGAAGCCACTTGAGATCTCATTACAAAGTGCCCTCCTTCCATCTCCACTCCCGTGTCCTCCAAAATCAGTCTCTCTCAACACCATCCAACGCTCCCACACTGCAACTTGGAAGTGTGTGTGAGCGGAGAGGGAGCTAGGTGGAGGAGCCAAGCATCCTCCAGGATCGTGACTGGCAAGCTCGGGAGCTGGCAGGCTCTGCGGGGCCCAGGAGCGCCGCGCAGAAAGCCAGCGAGGCCCCCGCGCCCCGCACCCGCCCCACCACGACTTCCCCCAGCAGCCTTCAGATCCGGAGACCACGGCCTCACCTTGAAGCGCACCGGCATGTCGCCCGGTGCTGGAGCCCCCGCCACTCCGACAGTTAACGGGACAAAAAGCCCCGAGGGGGCGGGGCGACAACAGTCGGTTCCCTAGCAAAATCCTCGGCCTGGCGTCCCCGACTACGCGCCGGCGCACTCCGGGCTTTCCTCCTTGAGCGCCGTCGCTCGGCCTTTCCCCGCCCACTCTGAGGCCTAAGAACCAATAGAGACTCGGAGAACTTCTTGTGGTCGTTAAGATCCGACCAATCAGTGCCCGAAAGAGAGACGCCCGCCTCCCGTGACAAATCCCGGGGACTAACAGAAATGGCGGGCGGAAGACTGGCCAATAAGGCTCCCGGAACCGGGGTGGGTGGGGCCCACCAGCGGGAGCTTCGTCCTGGGGAGAGCTCCGCCGCTCCGGGTATTGCGGGTTTTGTGTGACAATGGGTCTACCGGCTGGTGGGATTCGTGTGTCGCCGGCCTCGCTGGGCCGAGTTCGTGACGTCATAAAACATGAAGGTGTGTTCTTAATTCCAGATCTGTGACGAAACCGAAATGTTTCTTTTTCTGATATGAAAATGTTCAGGTCTATTCTCCTGAATACCCGTTCTTCTGACAGCCATGTTACACTACTCACTGGCACATCAAAAGGGTCGGCAAAAAATAAATATTGCTTAGGCAGGCCAAAAAATTTTTTTTAGTAACTCTTGAAAGAGAAACTGCTTACGTCCAGTGATGTTCTTGCGCCCAGTTCTCCCACTACCCCGCCCCCACCAAAAAACATGCACATAGAGCTCTTATGTTAGAAAACGTGAATGATGCTTGTGTCAACTTCCAAAGCTTCAGCGTTGTCTCTCCTCTCACTCATTTTAAAAAATAAAATTCCATCTGATTTTAATAGACTGTTGCCATCATCATCAATAACTATTTCTCCAGATTCTACCATTGACAGAACACTGTGCTGACTCTGAGAATGGGAAAGAAATAAATTGTCCAGACAGTTGTCTAATATACTCGCAGAGAATGAACATCTATTTATTCAATAACAGTATAATGTTTCATGTACTAAATTTTCAAATGATAGGTATAATAATAAGGGCTATAGGAGTTGGAGGAGGGAGTTGTCCTTAAGGGCAGAGATGATTAGAAGAAGCCTCAGGAAGAAATATTCAGACTCAGCCTTGAAGATTAGAAGGACTGAAATAAGTAAAGAGGAAAACGGGACCATCAAAGGGCAGATGTCTGAATGGAATGCTGCCAGGCTTCTTTCAGGAACAATGAAAACAGTGCCTTTACTTTTGTCATTTGTTGACTGAAGAAAAGTATGCCCTCTTTTAAACTTTCAAATATTAATAGCAGTCCTTGATGCCCTAAGCATTTTCTGCAAAGCCTTGTGTTCCTGAATCCTAATTGATGTCTCTGTTCTTCTTCATCATCACGGAGATACTTAAAAATTCATTTGAAGGAGGCACCTGATATCTGAAACAAAGAGAATATTAAATTAGCCCCTATGTGGCCATGCATCCAGGGGGCCCTTGATAAATGTTAATTGGTGATGACAGCATCTCTGTCGTGTAAATTAAGAATGGCACAAACAAGACACGGTGGAACATAAAACAAAGGTCCTTTGCAGGAAAACAGCCCAGATCTTACAGAGTAGGAAAAACACAACTCTGGTTGTATACACAATTTTGTTACCACATAATGCTGAGGTGAAATCAGCAAAAGCAAGCATGTAGAACGTAGCCTGTCTGCTAAACAAGGGCCATGATAACTGCAGTAGAGCTCTACTGAGCAGGGAATAAATGACAAGAACAGCAGAGGGTAAAAATAACTGAGTCATAACCTGGGTTTGCTGAGATGGGTTATAAGGATTCGAAGAAGAGTACTTTATTTTGTTATTTTTAAAAGAAAGCCCACTCAAGCTAATGAGGCAAAGACGTGGAAATGAAAAAAAAGGGACAACCTTAGTAAATGAGAGTTTGTAGCCTGTGTTTTACCAGCCTTTACGCTCTCTACTACCACAGGAAACAGACCCAGTACCTGCAGTGTTCCACCCAAGAGTTTTGGGGAGTCCCTAGGAGGTGTTTCACATGTGCTTACACCTAGCACATATGGTATGCTGGGCAACACTGCCTCAAATTCCAATAGCCACACGTCTGTATGTGTCACTCTTGCTGCTGGCCACCACAGCCACATTTGCTGAGTACTGAGTCTCCACTGGGCACAGCATGAAGCCTCCTCAGACTGCCCCACCCTGCTGGTGATCTGTGACAAGGCACCTCTCTCCCATTTTTGTGTTACCCTCTATTAAGTGAGTATCAAAGTGTCTTAGAGGGCTTTTCCATTTGTATTTTAGCCTTCCTTCTCTCCAAAGGGAATTCCATGGAGTCTGAGCCAGAAAGTAATCCTCAAGTGATAGGTTTCATTCTGTGTCAATCTATGACCTTCTATTCTAGACGTGCTTCTCTCTTCCACCGACCAAGGCTCTCTTACTAGGACAAGGGTGTCATACCTGCCTCCCTCTTCCCTTTGTTGATTTCTCTATTTCTCATGCAATTAGATTTCTCTTTATTACCTGTGAGAGATTAAATTAGTACCACCTCTATGAAGGACAATTTGGCAATCCTTTTGACCCAGCGATTCTACTTTTATAACTTTATCTTACAAATATACTTGCCCATATGTGAAAAATATTTAAGGTTGTTTACTGCATTGTTTAGAGTAACAAAAATTGGAAACAATTTAAATGTCCATCCTAGTTAAATATATTATGGTTGCTCCAGGGCCCAGAGCAAGAACAGGCTATGCAGCAGGTCCAGGTGACAGTGCAGGCTGCTCTGCTCCTTGGGACTTCCAACCCAGCAGATCCAGCTGGGTCAGACCCACTTCAGGTGTCAAATATTACATCCATCAGGGTCTGGCTGCGAAAACAGAAACTACTAGAGGCATTTCAAGAAAGAAAGCTTACTATAAACTGTTGGTTAATGAGTTATTGGAGAACTTAGAAAAACTAAAAGGAGAAACTGAGGATAGTAATTCTAGAAAGCAGCTCATACCCCTGAGGTTAGAAGAGCAGAGGAAAATGTTGATGTTACTGGAACACAGAGGCTTACCCTAGAAGCTTCAGGGAATTGGCCAGACCTCTGAGAAGGGTCACTGCCCTTCTTAGGGAACAAAGTGAGGCTGCCTCTGGGAATGACAGGAAGAAAGGAAGGAAGGAAGGAAGGAAGGAAGGAAGGAAGGAAGGAAGGAAGGAAGGAAGGAAGGAAAGAGAAAGAAAGAAAAAGGAAGAAAGAAAAGAGAAAGGAAGGAAGGAAGAAAAGAAGGAAGGAAGGAAGAAAAGGAAAAGTTGGCGACCAGCTGCTGCCATGGAAGAAAAGGTCATCATTAAGGTGCTGCTGAGAGCAAATAGTGAGTGAAAGCAAGCATTCTGGTCTCTAGTGTTAGTTAGTTAGCAGGGTCCAAAGGGTCTGCAGAGCCCAAAAGGTAAAATTGGAAGTGAGAGACTGTAACTTGTTAACTTCCACCCATCCAACCCTTAAAAAGAAAGAAGCATTTTTTAATGAGCTAACATGGAAGGAGTTAAAAAAAAAAAAAAAGCAAACTATAGACATGTGTATAGTATACCATCAGTTGGGATAAAAGAAAGACAAAGAAAGAAAAAATGATGTTATATAATAGCATCATTCACAGGCACTTGTTCCCTCACTCATGAGTCTAACTCTATTAGCAGCAGCTATGAAGATGAAGAACATTTCATTCAACTTACTTATAAATACATGGAAACTTTAAGGTATTGGTAGTTACTATGGCTATTCTCTTTACATAAAATCAGTCCATTAACCCTTTCTAGATTCACTTTGATTTGCATATATTGCAATAAGTCTGTTGCTTCTTTTAGAGACAAAGGCATATCAAAATCCTTTAAAAACAACTTTTATTTGCACTTAAAATATAAATATGGTACCTATTCTATTAAAAACAGGAAGTCAATCACTTCACAAATCTAACAATCTCCCATCATTTTCTTGGCAGCAATTGAAACATTGGAGAATTTGTACTTGTATTCGAATTTATGTTTGTGTTGAATCTGTATGTGCCTCTAACCATATTTTTATTTTACAAACAAAAATGTATTACATATAAGCAGAACACTGTTATACAAAAGGGTTGAGGAAAGAAAATACAAAGATGAGTAAGACACAGCGCCTGCCTTCCAATCTGATTACAGTCAAATGAGGGAACAGACGCATACACAAAGAGCTCAGGAAAGGATAGAAAGAATGATTCAAGGAAGGGGCTAAAAGTGAGCACTCAGGTATTCTGAAGATGCTTTTAAATCCAGTGCCAGAAAGTTTGAGCCAAGACTGGAGACTAAAGAACAGACAGGTAAGACAGCTGCTTTTAAGTTACATCCTGGGAAACACCTGATCTAGAGGACCTTTCACTTTCCCTTTTGTTCTGCCCTAGGTAGCTGAATCCAGGGCAGAACTAACATTTGCTCAAGATTGGGTCCCAAAAAGGTAAGTTACTTGCTCTCTGTTGTCTTTTTTCTCTCGTTGCTTCAGAAATCAGAGTAATGTTGTTTTAGTAACCACCATTCCATCAGCGCAGTGATTCATCCACACTGTGTTTGCATATATGTAATTTTTTTTCTCAGATACCTTGCAAGGTAACTGAAATTCCAGTTTCGAGGCTTAGTAATGCTCTTGAGCTCTGTCACTTCCTCTTGGGTCATATTTACATGGGCTTTCCTTGGTAAATCTTGATCTCAGTCTCTGCCAAAAAGCAATCAGTCTGACAGCCGCTTTCTTTGGCATTTTTCCATCAGTTTTAACTGCTTTTTCCTCACATGAATGAATTTCTGATTGCACAACTGAAAAGAAAAATGACAAAATTAAATCAATGGATTCTGTCTCAGAAGCAAAATTGCTTATACTTCACATTAGTGTCACTAAGAATCAAATAAACAGGGTGTGTGATTAAGACTCACCAATGAGCCAGGAGCAATTTATCCTCCAGACTTTTCGCCATGGGATGCCTTTGTTGACAAAGAAGTGTCTGGCTTTTGAATCAATGGGGCACCTTTGGGAGGGACTCCAGGTTCTCTTGACAACATGTACTTTTTTTTTTTTTTTTTGGTGAGCTCGAGGGACACCTAACCTTATGAGGCCATGACTGAATAAAGAAAGTGATTCTTAGTAAGGCATAAGCCACTGCAAGCCTCACATACCCTAATAATATGTTGTGCCTCTGCTGAACAAGACACAGGGAACAAAATACGAAGGCACAAAATTCTTTTCACTTTAATGCCTTCACTGTTGATGATTCTGTGATCTAAAAATTGCCTTCCCTTTTCTTCAGTGATTATTGTCTTAAATCACCATCTGTATCAAAGTATCCACAGGGACACAGGTTTTTCTAGAATTTCTAACTCTGTAGATTGGGAAGCATTAATTCTCTGACCACTTAAAATCAGACGTCATGTCTTAAGGTCAGGTCAGAGGACACTGTCTTCCTAAGAACCTTCTAAATCCATACCCTACACCAAAATAAATTTTGAAATATTCTTTTATCACATAGTGTATAGGCACCTTAAGAACTTAAGGTCAAGACCAAATGCCTGTTACTATTCCTTCTGAAATCACTGTTCTATTAGTAATGTTATATCAGATATCAAAAAGGGAGTAAGAATTTTTCAAAACACAAATCAGTTTTCCTCTCCTTAGTGACTTATCATTGTTGGTTCCCTTTAAAACTTATTCATTTGGGTTTTGCTGGAACAATGAGTTCATAAAATCTTAGTACTATGTTGTTCATCCTTCAGTCTCTCAACTTCCGGTAATTGAATTAATAATGTTCGACCCTACAGAGAATGATATACCCAATTGTAAAATACTGCACATATGAGTTTAAAGAAATGGTTCCAATATCACTGAGCACAACTTACAGAATAAGGTTTAGGAATCATGCTCATTTAAGTTCATCAGAGCTGTGGCAGATACTGAGGCTGACACTGCAAATCCACTCCAACCTTCTCACGTACTACGGAAATTAGAAAGTTGAAAGTCCCTTTGACACTAGGCCCCTTCGCAGCTGAATGTCAGGTATAACTTACACTTTGCTGATGAGAAGCACTTGCATAAACTGAATTAGGTGGGAGAAAGGCAAAGCACAGGAACCTGTTGTGATGGTGTAAGTCATGGCTGGAGTGGCAGGAGCGTGGTTCTGATCGGGCAGCTCCAGCAGCAGCTGCCTGATCACCGCAGCAGTGACAGAGTTCCGGAGCCAGGGTTTACAGCAGTGGTTTATTAACTTAGCCAGGAATTTCCTGGTTCGACAACTCCTGGCATTAGTGAGTCTATTCTGTGATGTGGCCCTAGAATTTACTTCTTCTGCCTTCCCAAGGATTCTGTAAGCCACTTTGTGCCAGTCATCTATTACCACAATAATGCTGTATAACAAACATCCCCCCCCCCAAATGTGGTGGCTTGAAACAATAACCATTTATATTGCTCATGAATCTGTGGGTCAGCTAGCCAGTGCTAGGAGTCTAAGTTGAGCTTGGCTGACCTCACTGAGCTTGCTCAAGTATTTGTGGTCAACTGATGGGGACTTTAGAAGCTGGCTGGTCTCAGATGACCTCCGCTAGGACAACTCTCACTGCTCCTTCACCTTCCAACAGGCCAGCCTGGATTATTCTCATGGGAGAGGAAGGTACCAAGCAGGAGAGCAAAGTGTGCAAGGTCTTTTGAGGATTAGGTTTAGAAACAGCATACCATCACTTCTGCTGCATTCCATTGGCCAAAACAAGCCAAAAGGGCAGCCTGGATTCAGGACGTAGGGAAATAGACTCAATCCCTTGATGGGAGGAGTTACAAAGACAAATTGTAAAGGAGGAAAGAAAACGTGGGGCTGTTAGTACAATAAATCTGCCTCAACACTGAATACTCTGGAAATACCCTCTCTGCTTTAAATGGCTGAATAAATTATGTTCTCTGCAGTTTAACTCTGGTGGGTTATACATATGCATGTATCTCCATTCCCTCTAAAAATGCTATAAAATGACAGTAAATGAATAAAACTGATATAAATTGGTGAGGTCAGAGAGAATGGCAGAGGAGACAACTGCAAAATAGAGATGTCAACAAATATTGGTGATAGGGAGAACAGAGTCTGTTGCAGGTTGGGCTCTGTGGGAAACAGACCCCAAGCTGAAGTTGAATGTGCTGAATGTTTATTAGTGAGGCCTCTTAGGACCAACACTTGTGAAAGGGAGCGCACAGCAGCAGGATGGCGTAGAAGAAGTCAGGCTTCAAGGCAGGCCTGACAACAACTTCAGCTAACCCCATGCGGAGTCCACAACTGAAAGGGCCTGTCAGCCCTGTCCTGTGCTGGGCCTTAGGAAGGGCACAGCCTTGGGGAAGGTGGTTCCCTGCAGCAGAGGTAACAGCACAGGGCACAGACAGTAACAGCCGCAACGATCCTTCCCTGAAGTGGGACACGGACAAATGCATCACTGTAAGCATGTTCCTACTAACTAAACAAAACAAAAAACAAAAACATGCATTTGGAGCCAGAGGCGAAAATATCTCTGTTCCCATGGGGAGCCAGTCTCAATATAGCTATTAGAGCGTGAGTCCCCAAACCTTCAAGAGTGAAGGAGGGTACCTGTCAGCCCTGGTGCCCTGAGTTCTGGTTCAGAATGCCTAGAGACAAAACACCGGACCTGGATCTCATGGTGCCCTGTCCCTTCCCTAGACTGTCTGCTCTACCTTACCATGTCGTGGTTCGCTTTGCTCCTGCATCAGGCCACCCACAGCCTTGTGCTTCCGGAGATTCTGCCTGTGTTGGTGCCAGGCAGACAGGAAAGCCAGATGCAGGGGCCAGCAGGACATTCTGCTTATGAATTTCACAGGCAAAGTGTGGGAATTAGAGCTAGAGAGGAGCACAGGAACCCCTATCTTAGAGAGGAGCAAAAGAAAAAGACACTGGACCTGAGGAACTGGCCTAGGACTTGCCTTTTTATCTATAGGTAAATCAAACTCACATTAAAAAAAAAAATTGTCAGTACTAGTGAACCAAGAAGAGAAAAAAAAATATTGACTCCCTAAAATTAATTCCCATTACAATCATTTATAAACTGGCTGCTACCATTTATACATGAATACCATAGAGCACAATAACAAGCGTCCATGTCATAAAGGGTTTGTTCAGTAAATTGATTGGAAAGCTAAACTTTCCACTATATGGACAGCCGTTAGGGTTTGTTACTTCTTCCTTGGGATCCAAGGCTCACCCCATAACCCTGGAGGGCACACGAGCCAGAGGGCAACTCCATTCTCTCCTGATGAAAGAACACTCAGTGGAACAAATCATGTTTCAAATAAATGTTCTCTTTACAATATAAGCCACTTTCTTCTTTGAATTGTGATGTTCTCTTGATCATGGGCTTTTATTGTTAAGAAAGCAAGGGTCCATTTCCAGTACATGCTTCACCTCAGCCAAATGCAGTGAAATGTGTGCAAACACTTTGTGAATTGGCAAACATTATAGAAATGTGAGCAGTTCCTGGTATTAGGTGTTAAGAATGGTCTCCTTTTGTACCATTTTGTACCACTCCTCATCTTTGCTTTTCCTAAACAGTGGAACTCATGCAGTTTAACATTACTAATTAGTCTCCAATTTATTGTGAACAATACCTTTTCTGATTATTATTATTTTCATCTAATATTTATTGAGTACTCATTACATGTCTTAGGACTGTATATCCTGGATCAGAATGGTTTCATTAGGGAAACAGGGCCACTGTAAATAGTATAGGAATAAAGGGCTTCATATAGAAATGATGGCTTACATAGATATGAGAGGAGTTGGTGGAGTAAAGGTCTAGAAGGTGGCAGCCAGAGGAGTGGAGAGTCACTGATGTGTTCAGTCTGAAGTCCTAGAGTGTGGATGGAGAGACTCAGCTCATGGGGCACGTCCCAGAATCCTGCAGTAGCTACAGAATGCTGTGAGCCTCTGTGTCCGGTGAAGCCCTAATGAGCCTAAGCAACTATTATCCCAGAAACAATGGTCGCCCTTCACTTTTGCCTTCCAAGTCTTGCGCAAGTCACAAACTAAAAGTCACTCACAAATTCCAACCCAGAACCATGTAGGAAAGGAGATTCTGGGAAGTTCCAGATATTCTGGTAGTTTCCAGCCTTAGATAGGAATAATATTGGTGGTGCCAAGTTACCATCAGGCAATGCAGCACACAGACAATAGAAACAAGTGTTACTATTAACATTTTTTGGCAGTCAAAATGCTAAGATGTTTAATGACTTGCCTGAGGTCACATGCTAATAGATGGCAGAGCTAAAACTCAAAACCCAGGTCTGTCTGAGACCTATGATCATAACAACTCTTATTTAATGGCCCTTCAAAATCTATAAATACTGATTATCCGTCATAATATTTAATATTATTTCCTGTCTCTGTGAGAGCCAGAGGCATATGTTTCAACTATTCTAGAACACTGTGGTTAAGAGATACAGATCTCAGGACTAAAGTGATGTGTCAGGGATGCAAGTCGTCTTTGGGGCCGAGCTGAGACATTTCTGCTGCCCAAGGTATCATGGGTTCAGCAGCTTACAGAGCTACATTATCAGGAAGTCTCATTTCTTCCTCTGGCTGGAAAAAAAATTAATGCCTACACCCCTTAATTCTCCCATCCTTTGTACATGCTGTGACCTACACAACGATACCTTGAACCCGCCTTTTGGGAGAGAGGAAAGAATATACTTTCCATTACTCAAGCCGAGTGAAAAGAGCTTCCAGGGAACATTTGGAGATCTTGACAAATGTTCCTTGGACTCTGTGAAACAGAAAGGCCATTATCTAATTCCTGCCTGGGGACACACAATGGTGAGAGATTACAGCTAGAATTGCTGGTTTAATAGCAGAATGACAAGAGGTGGGTGCATTAGGAACAAACTACATTTCTGCCCACAGTAGGGCAAAAACATCTGAGTTTCCTTGTGGCCAAGTTGGACAGATGAGAGGGAGTCCACCTGGGGTCATGTTCGCTCCTACCTCAGAGTATTGCCTAGAGGGGAAATGTGACCCGCAGGTGGATTGTCAGAAGTCCAGGTGCTGAGGGTAGGATCATGGTGCCTATTGATGTACAGCCCCACCCACACCAGGGGAGCTGCTGTCAGAGGTCCTCAGTGGGCACACCTCCAAAACATCCCTCAAGGGGAAAAGCCAGCAATTGCGCACCTGCCACCTCAGAGGAAGTCATCAGATTACAGTCTACACAAGCCACAAAAAGTCTTTTTCATTAATCCCCTCTCCTTCTGAGCCTGGCCCTGGAACGATCAGAAGCAGCACCTACAAAACAGGGAAAAGTAGATGGACAAGGTAAAACAAGCAAGTAGAGAAGTCAAGTATGTGTCTGTCTCCAACTGGGCACAGTTGCAGGGCAGTGGGGGCAGAAGGAAAGGAAAAAGAAACTGGATCTGAGTTTTATACTACATGAGAACTTTAAAAACTACCAACTGGAGGCTGTTCTTGTGACTAAAAGTAACCAAGGACATTTTTTTCCCTATCTACAAGTAACTGAAAAAGTTTGGGTACCAAGATTGCATCCAGAAATGGGATCTAGACAGGAAAGAATGAAGTTGATTTCTGCATGACCCTATTCAGTCCAGCTTGTAAGTAAAAATGATTATACCTATATAATAGGAACAATGGGACAACACGAAAGAACTCTTAGCAACTAAAAATATTATAGCAGCATCTTAAAAATGCCATATAGGCGTTAGAAAATAAAGCTGAAGCCACCTCTTGGAAGTTAGATCAAAAAGAAAAAATCCATAAAAAGAAATAAAATACAATAAAAGCAGTTGTTGAGGAGGTCCAAAATCTGACATTATAATAGCAGTTTGTAAAAGGGAAAATGGGGAAAAATGTAGAGTAAGAAATTTAAAAAATTTTTTTCAAGAAATCTTCCCAGAATTGAAAAGATGAGTTTCTAAAATAAAAGTTCTCACCAATCATATGCATTAATTATTCAGCAAATATCTGAAAACACTGTTTTTGTGCTAGGCCCTATTCTAAAACTACAGCAAAGACTAAAGCCAAGGATGTGAGTCCCTGCCAAGGAGCTTGCATCCTACTGGGAGAGACAGGTAATAGACAAAGAAATAATGACTTAAGTCAGATGGTAACAGGTGTCATTAAGGAAAATAAACCCGGATAAAGGAATATGGAATAATGAGATGGTAGGAAGGGATTGCTATCTTAGGCCAGGTGGTCAGGGAAGGCCTCTCTGATCATGTGACAGTTGAGCGGAGGGAGCGAGAGATGCAGACATGCTGGAAATAGAAGCACAGCAAAAGCAGGATTCTCTGTCCGCCATGTTTACTAATGTATCCCACCTGTCTAGAATAGTGCCTGGCTCATAGGAGGCACTCCAGAAACACTTGTTGAATGAATGAATCGAAGCATAGGGAAAAGCATATGCAAAGGCCATGATACAAAAACATCCTTGGCTTGTTCAAGAATGCCAGCGAAGCTGGAGCAATGGTAGCTTGGGGAGACATAGTAGGTGATGACCTTGTAGGCCACGGCAAGGACTTTGGATTTTATTCTGAGACAGATGAAAATCCATTGCAAGTTTCTAGACATCAGAGTGTCATGATAAAATTGCTGTTGTTAAAGAACTACCCTTGCTTCAATGAGAAGGTAGACTGTAAGGAGGTGAGGTTGGGGGCAGGGGCACCACACTAGTCCAGGCAAACTTATGAGTGGCTTAGAGTAGGGTAGCATGAGTGGAGATAGTGAGAAATTAGCAGATTATTGATAAATCTCAAAGACAGATCACACAAGACTTGCTGCTGAATTAGATGTCATATGTGAGAGAAACAGAGAAGTTAAGGATGAAGCCAAGGTTTTTAGCCACAACAATTAGAAGGATGGAAGGGGACACTATTAGATGCAAGGTGTGATGTAAGGACCAGATGCAAGGGTGAGAAATGAGAGGTTATTTTGGACTTAAGAGATGCCTACAAGACATACAAGTGGAGATGTCATATGTATCTCTTTCCTAAACAAGTAAATTCAGGGGGGAAATGCATATTCAAGTTTGTCCTCCTCAGTGCAATGCATCTATCTCAAGGGCCAGATAAGTGACCAGATTTTAAAGCCCATTTCCAACCCTGAGACCTGACAATCCAATAGCCCTCTCCTCACCGCTGAAGTAAAAGCTATTGATTCTCCCCTTTTATGACGCCTACAGGATCTTTCCTTCCCCACATGTGTTCCTTGCATTTTTTTTTAAAGATTTTATTTATTTGACAGAGAGACAGTGAGAGAGGGAACACAAGCAGGGGGAGTGGGAGAGGGAGAAGCAGGCTCCCCGCTGAGCTGAGAACCCGATATGGGGCTCGATCCCAGGACCCTGGGATCATGACCTGAGCCCAAGGCAGCCGCTTAACCCACTGAGCCACCCAGGTGCCCCTATTCCTTGCATTTTCCACACCACATTCTCCCTCTATCCTCTAGCTTCCTGAGGAATAGTTCTCTCTTACTTTGGGAAAAGGAGCAAAGAAATACAAACCCTTCATTTGACCATCCTGTTCTTTCTTCCTCATTTCCCTGACAAAACTTGGTCACTTCCCCCTCAGGTCTCTGATGAAGTTTTCTCTTCTTAACCCTGATTTCCCTCTCCAGCCCTATCCCTAACCCAATTCTTTCAGGGCCAGGCCTACAGCCTATTCTCTGATCTATGCACCCTGCCTGGGGCTCTGCACCATTCCCCGTGGTTGACTTCTCATGGGGGCATCCCCCAGGATTCATTTTTGGTCATCTGCTCTCCTATCTGCATGCTTTCTCCCTCAGGAAGGTCATCATTCCTATAACTGCAATGAACACCCCTGCATGGATGACTCCCACCTGTTCATCTCAGTCTTTGCTTCTTATCAGAGTTTGACTTCCTAAGAGTATCTAAGCAAAGTGGTGATCTGGCATAAGTGCTGAAATCGGATGGTTCAGGTTTAAGTTTAACTATATACATTTTGGGGTTATATTTAGCCCCTCATCCTTCATGAAGTGGGAATAATAATAGTACCTAACTCAGTTTCCATGAGGATTACATGAGTTTTATGTATAAAACATATAGCCCCTGGCACATAGTAAATAATAAATGTTAGCTATCATTATTGGAGGTCACACTATCACTGAAACTCAATGTATACAACCCCAAATTCTTCCTTTGCTTCTCTCCCTAATTGGTTCTCAAGTTTTTCTGTGCGGTCTCTAGTTCTCAGACCCACAGATGTAACATTTGTGATAATCTTTGATTTACCCATTACTTCAATTTTTTTAATCTAGTCAGTTGACAAAATAGGTCTTGCTAACTCTCCTACTAATTTTTTCTTGAAATGTGACTTCAATCTTTTTCTTTTTTCTTCATCCCTCTGCTACGCCCCAGCTTAGTCCCAATCTGCTCACACTAACGCAGCCGGGGCAGCAACCTCCTCATTAGTCTCTGTGGACTCAGCCTCCAACCCCAAACCATGGAAATATTATCTCAGAAACTTTGAGTTCTGCTGTTTCCATTCCTAACAGGTGAAGAATCCTCTAAGTAGATAGAACTTTCTAGAACTTCCATAATACAGCTCCATTCTATGCAGTCTTATTTCCTTCCACTCACCTGCCTTGCCAGCTCTGTCTCTCCACTGCTCCAAGACCATCTCATGCTCTTTCTGGCCCCTCTACTTTCATGCACATTGTTCTCATCTGGAATGCCCCCTCACTTTTCTCCAGCTATCTCAATCCTACCTGTTCTTCAGCCCAGCTCCATTTCAGCCTTCTCCCTGAGGTGCATGAAATGAAATCTCATTCATTCAATTACTCCAACACCTAAAATCAGCATTTGATCCCATTTACATATTGTAGCATATTGTTCCCTGAAGTGCAAAATATGTCATTTTTGTATGTATTAGATGATAAGATTTTAAAAGGTTACAATGTTTCCTAAACTTCAGTGTTCCTGCTTCACCCCTTCCCTACCCCATGCCTAGGAAAGCTGTAAGTAAGTGATAAAGACCCAGGAAGCCTTGATGATAATATAAAAATAAAAATAATGATAATGATGATAATGATAATAATAATAATATACACTATGCTGTATACCAAGTACTCATCTAAGGAGCTTTTTACATATATTAATTCGTTTAATCTTCACAATAATTCTATAAAGTAGAGATATTATCTCTATTTTACAGCTGAGGAAACTGAGGCACAGAGAGGTTAAGTAAGTTGACCATGATTGATTACTGACCCAGCGTAATCTTCACACACACAAATATGTGAAAGAATGCAAAATATAATCTAGGAAGACTATACTGTAAAAACTCCATTGAAGACCCAAAGAAAAGAAATCCTAAGACTCGCCCTCACTTCAGTGATACAATGTAACTGTATTTCTGGGTGGTGAAGGGGAAAGAATAAATAGGGATCACATTTTTTTTTTAAAGATAAATTTGTCATCTCTTTATTTCTCTGATTCTAAATGAATCACAGAAGAGACTGGAAAAAACATCCGGTCCCACCCCCATTTCCCCCCCTTTCCCATGTATTAATAAAGCCACCCAACTACAACCATCAGTCCCTCATGAAATAAGCATCCATGTAAATTGGCTACTGCTCTGCCCTAGAAGGAGACACATACTACATGGTATGCTCTGAAAGTCACGTGCTTCTCTTCTTTACCAGTCACAAGGAACACTTTTGGATATGCACAAATAAGGAAGTGCTGTATGAACTAACTTGTGACTGAAAATCAGTCAAGTATTCCCCACAAATAGCAGCTCGTAGGCACCTACCTGAACTCTAGGTGTTCATTCTTTAGAAGAGAGCGTGAGGAGGCTGGAGCCATCCCTCCATGGCTGGCCCAGCAGGCTGTAGTCTAATATGGAAAGCGAATCCCCAAAAGCTGAGCCATCCCACCAACACTCAGCACCTCCCATGGGTGAAGGAAAGACTGTGGCTTGACTGCAGCACAAGACTAAATGTGGTGAGGTGAAGAGTTGAACAAATCAGTCATTTTCCTGTTGCGTAAGTAGGAATTTGTACCTCTTGGCTTTTTGTTAGAGAAGGAGGGAGAAGTGTGGCTTGTTACCTCAGAAAACTCTGCCCAATGAGAGGCTGGCCCTTCAGAGGATCTGCCCTGGTTGCCACACAGAGTTTTGCAAACCTGGCTTAAAAGTTCTTGAAATAGTTATCTTTGCTTACAGTAGTGGTTAGAAAAATGAAATGGGAATTAAGAAACCTTGTAATATAATACTCTGTACCACCTCGTTGGTATTCAAATATGTTTTTCTAAGCTCAGATGATTTCCATATGGGTGGAAGACTTCAGATTTAATTTTATTAAAGATAATTAACATCCCTCTGAAACAGTAGTTATCTATATACCTCCAGCAAAATATTTATGTGTAAGGATGTTTCACCTGCCGCACATATTCTTGACTGGCATTCAAGTGGATTATTAGCTGTCTTGCCCCTAGCATCTATTCTGTCTTAATGACTCCTATCCTCCTACACTGCTGAAAGTGACTTGAGGCAGTACGGATTCCAAAGGCAGGCTGCCTGCCAGATGAAGCGGAGAAGCTGCAGGAAGCATGCACGGAAAGAAAAGTGAGTGCAGTTCCCCTGAGATAGGTTTAAGTTAACGTAACCATGGTTTTTAATCTCCTCATATACTCTCTTTGTAACTATACATGTCTTAAATAATAGGTTCAAAAGAAGCATGATAATAGCTAACAGCTGGACTCTTTCTAGCACTTTCTTATCAAGTACCTTCCAGTTTGCAGCCTCCCAGAACAAAGAGTGTCTCTGTTGCTTAAGCCCAGAAGCTTGATTTATAAACTTAGCGTAATGAACCCAGTCGAAATTTTATTACCAACTGGTTTGTACCATAATATATGTGTGGAGCAGCTATTGTATAAGGATGACTTATTTTTGATCTCAGGGTTGTGAGATGGAGCCCCTTGTCTGGCTCCCCGCTCAGCAGGGAGTCTCTTTCTCCCTCTGTCCCTCCCCCTGTTCGTGGTCTCTCCCTCTTTCAAATAAATAAATAAATCTTTAAAAAAACAAAAAAACAAAACAAAACAAAAAGGATGACATTTTAATGCACTAGAACTCTCCCTCTGTTAACTTTCTCGTAGCCCTGGGAATTGTAGTGTCCCCTTTATTTGTATTTAGATAGCTGCCATTTAACCAGCTGCCATAAGATAGCCATCTCCATCTGATTTCTTTGGAGCTACAAGTCACATATTAAAGTGGAATCCATATCTTTTATCCCCCTGGGGTAATGAACAGAAAAGATCCTGTCCACAACTGATCTAACACCTGTGTGTTCTCATAAGAGCCAGTACCCAAGGTAAATCTCGAACTACGAGTACTTAGTACAGTCTTTTTGGAACCCACAAATGCCAAGGTACTTGCTCCACGAGACAGCCTGGAACCAAGGTGTAATCAAGCTTTTCACTGGTCCCACTGGACTGGGCTATGAATCATCTCCCTTTCTTACCCAACTGGCACAGATAAATAGCAACTGAGCAGCATTTTGTCTCCTGAAGAGTATAATTTCCTTAAATTAACATAAGGTAATAGCTGTTGTATTCACTTGCAGCTTTTATGAGGCCAGACACATCTCAGGAAGGCCTAACTAATCTCAGGAAGTAACCCACACATGGAAAAAACCTATTACAGAGTTGAAATCCTCTTAAGGAGATGGAGTAGGCAGAATTGTCCTCGCGATCACCTGTCTGGGAAATTTGAGCTGATGGGACCTGAACAGCACTCAGCTCCAAGCAATAACGCCACCTTTTGTGCTCAGGTTCATTTTATTGCCGAAATCATTCTGTCACCTGCCTCCTCCCTAGGGGCTGAGGTAATAAGGGATTGTTAACATCTATCGGCAAATCCATCTGGTTCACTGAAATTCATCTCACAAATAGTAGCTGGTCAAAAGATGAGAAAGTGCACAAAGTGGCCTAATTTTTATAAGTCCCCTCCCCCCCACACACACACAACTTTGTGGGAAAAAAGCACCAGTTTTTCCTTCACTGGAGCAGCAACCTGTAAAGTAATATATCCTTTCAGAGCATTTAGAGATGACCTACAGTGGGGCTGATATTTATTCCACTGGTTTCTGGCATTTTATTCCGGTTAAACTTGCAGTGTTTCGGTCTTCCACTGAAAGTGACTTTTTTCCCTAATCTTCATAACCTGGAAGGAGTGCAGATCATTTAGGCATATACAAAAGGTAATAATGCATTCATAATATAAACAATAAGTAGGAAAAGTTTTCTTCCTTGTGGATTCCTGCTAAATATTTTTAGAATCAGGGGTGCCTGGGTGGCTCAGTCATTAGGCGTCTGCCTTCGGCTCAGGTCATGATCCCAGGGTCCTGGGATCGAGCCCCACTTTGGGCTCCCTGCTCAGCAGGAAGGCTGCTTCTCCCTCTCCCACTCCCCCTGCTTGTGTTCCCTCTCTCACTGTCTCTCTGTCAAATAAATAAAATCTTTTAAAAAATTAAAAATTTTTTAAAAATAAATATTTTTAGAATCAGTGGGGATTGTGATATTTATTAATTTTTTAACCATGGGTCAGATTTGCAGGACCCCATCCACCCCCTGGTCTGTAGCTAGAATGGAGTTTCCCAGACTTGGTGCCCTAGTGATCAAGAATGCATGCTCTGCAGCCACCTGGGTTTGAATCCTTGCTCTACTATAGAGCTAATAGTGGCCTGGAGATAATAATAGTACCTCCATCATGAGATGGTGATGAGAAGTCATTTGGCTAATACAGGTGAAATATTTAAATGGTGACTAGCTAATGATAAGTGCTACATATTATCTTGATTATATTCCACAGAATACTAGTTCCAAGAGATGTTCCTGGGGAAACAAGAGTCTGTGGTCAAATAAGATTGGAAATACTCCACACTAACATATTTCATGAAGTCTATAAAGCTATCAGTTAAGTACCACAAAGAAAGAAAGCAGGACACAAGGCTCTCCTGGGGATTTGGCAGTTCTGACTTCGGTTTTATTGCTTTCTTGGCACATGCTAGGTAACCCTTTTGCACCTATCTCAGTAACAAAATACACCCTCAACTACGGGATATCTTCCTTTCTTAAGTTCTACTCAGCACTTGGTTATTGCTTTGCAAGAAAATATGAAATTGTTAAGCCTGCAATACTGAAGTTTTGCCATCCTAACATCAATACATAGACCCCACTGCTCTGTTTCCATACCTTTTATATACCGTAACATTTCATTTCAGTGCCAGATCATGGTGTGACCTTTTGAAGACGTTCTAAAGAGCAATTAAACATCACATACATCCTAAGAAGGTACCTAACTCAATTAATGTGATGACAGCAGGAACAGCTGTGACCAAGTTCACACTGCCCAGCAGTGACCTCAGTTGAGCAGGTCTCAACAGCTGCCTGCCAACAGCCACTGTAAGATGCTGCTGTCCCAGAAGTATCCTAGCTTCAGACATGAGAAAATGTGGCAGCAAGGTACTGCTTAGAATTGATGAAATATTTATGTACTCCTTTAGGACATACCCAGTGCTTATTAGTATATTAAAGGTGGAAGGAAGCCCTGCAGGAAAGAAACCATCTTCCCTGATTTAAGCCAGCATATTGGACCACACAGCCTTCTATCAACATGTGGGGGTGTGCTGAGTGAGCCTGACAAATCTGAGCACTACAGGGTAACTGGAAGAGAGTTTTGCAGCTCCTTTATAATCAAGCAGCAACAAAGAGAAGGAAGACTGACCCTGATGGGATTCAGAGCATGCTACCCCAAAATATGGTACCTTGGCATATTGAATATTTTAACCTGGAGGAGTTTGAGTAAAGGGCAACAGCAGGAAGGTCAGTCACTCTTTTCCCCTGAGAAAGGTCATAAAACCCTTATACGAGAGTGCCCTCCCTCTACCCAGAGGAAAGGAGCAACCTTATCTCCAAAGACAAAAGGATGCCCAGAAGAATCCTAACGAGCAGGCCCTGCTAGTTTCCCCTGGTTTAGTGCATTTACCTCGTACTCTTGAACCTATCATGTTTCTCCACAACTGCTCACTCTTCATCAAACCTACTAGAAAGCTTCACAGATCTGTTTCTTTAGGTCTTCCTTTCCTTATGAAGGCTTCCATATCACCTAAAACCTATATTCAGTACATTTGTGTGCCTCTTTCCTGTTAATCTGTCCTTGTCGGTTTAATTCTCAGACTCAGCCAGGGACTCTGAGAAAGTTAAGGAAAACTTTTTCCTCCTCTACAACCCTGTTTAGGATCAAAGACAGAAAAGTTGCCCCCAAAGAACTCCTAGAGACTAGGTGATGACTCAGTCTCTCCATACTTTTAAGTAAAATACTTGCCTTGATATCAGTCCAGGGTTCTTATCACGAGGAGACTAACCCCTTAGAACTGGTCAAATTCCAGTTTAATAACAAACATTATTGAGGTCTCAATATGTAATAAGCCCTGAGTTCAGCAGCAGAGCTATGAAATGTTTGTGAAAGTTCCCTTTCATAATCTGTAAAAAGGTAATAGTAACAACACAATAATAGTGTTATTGTCCATAGGCAATGAAGGAATAGATGGGAATTAAGAAACCTTGTAATATAATACCGTATACCACCTTAATTATAGTGCCCGGCACAGATTATTGCAGGGTTCATTCCAATGAGGAAGATGGAAAGGAAATGTAAGAAATGCTAAAGGATCGAGGGCCACTGTCCCTCCCCTGTCCCTTGCTCTAAAAGGGCAGATTCCTTTAGAGGCCACCAAGCAAATGGCTTACTGTGCTCTGGCTTAGTTTAACTTTAAATTCAATCCATTCTAGTTCCTTTGTGCCTGCAAAAGGACAAGAGCTAAATGAGGCTTCAGTCTACTTGGCATCTGGTCATCTGCCCCTTGCAAGTGCTAGGGTATGGCAGAGCAAAGCAA